CCCATAAAATTGCCATTTTTTCGTATTTGAGGTTTCAACGTTTTCAAATAGATATGCTTGAGAGCTTTCTTTTAAAAAAAAAAATTAGAAGAAAATATTATTTCTGTCGAAAGATATCGGGGGTAAAAGATTTTTTCTCGTTAATTATCTTAATTGATCGTTGACAAGATCTGTCATACCCGTGTCATACATCAATTAACTTGCCCGTGAACTAGTAACGTGATACCGAGTGCGTGCTTCGACACAACACGTGCGAATTGTCTTCGCGTTGTTTATAGCCTTTAGTATTCTCCGTGGATATTTAGCGTTTGCCGCCAAAAAAAGAGAAAATTTCGTCATCGAAACCGAGAGCGAAAAAGAAATCGAAGAGTGAGTTTGACAAAGAATGGGCCGCAAAATTGGCAGAGAGCGACAAAGGCTCATTTTATCAGCAAGAGAAGTGGCTCGAGGAGTTGGATATTCAGAAAAGCGAAAATGTTGCAGTTGCTGAGAGTGCAAGCCGCTCCAAAATCCAGCTTGAAGAGCCAGATGAAGAAAGCCAATTAAGCTCATCGACCCCATCTGCTGATGGAACGTGGAAAACAATAAGCGGTCGAGCTATCGTATCGATCGAAAAGCTGCTTGAGAAACTGGACGAGTCTGTAGCTTGTCGATTTTGCCAGGGAAGAGTCCAAGTCATGGAAAATGTAGCGACTAAGCATGGACTTGGTTCTACCTGGAGAATCCAGTGCGAGAATGAAAGCCGTCCGTCGCACAAGACAAATTCTGTTTTAGTTCTTCCGAGAAGAGCAGAGCGTTTGAAATAAACCGGGCCTCAGTTCTTGGCCTTCGAGCAATCGGTGGTGGACATTCGGCGGCTTCAAAGTTTTTTGGCCTGGCGCCGATCGACAAAAACGCCTGGGCGGATCATACGAAAAAGATCGAAGGAGAGGCAAAACTTTTGCTCGAGAAAGAATTAAACCGTGCTTCTCGTGGTGTAAAAGAGTGGAAGTTTTCCAACGGAGAATTAAACTGTTCCCTTGCTTGCCGCGAAAGTTTGTTCCTGTTACATGTTACCTGTCAAAGTCCTATTGTTAGAGAAAATTGATCCCTCTCTGATATCAATCAGAATAAACATTTAGGTGTTATAATCTCATTCCAGGTAGGATGCCGCCAAAAATGTATTTTCTATTTTATCTCCGAACGCAAATTTTGCCGATCGACTCGTACGTTTTGAACTCCAAGTCGGCAGCCTTTCAGTCAATTTGGCTAAAATTTGGCCAGAGTGATGCCATATATCTCTTCTACAAAACCGTGTCTGCGAATTTTAATACTCCTTTTCATTTTAAAGCTAGAGCTTTTTTTCCACGGGGAGTGTTGACTAATTGCCTTTCCCAACTTCATTTGCTAATAAAAGAAACACAAACGCACTTGTCAAAAATCCGAGACACGGTTTTTTAGTGGAACGTGTTGAGAAGCGAATGCGGTGTTAATTGTTTTCTTCCGTTTATTTCCGGCGGGAGTGGAACATGATTTATAGAGAAGTGTACTTTTACACAAAACGTTCCAATTTCGAAACACATTTAAGTAAATCGTTTTTGTTAGTTCAAATCCATAATCTGGAATTATTAAGCTTTTAAAAAATATATGGTTTATAGGGGTTTTTATAAAAACAACTAACGCTACAGCGATCCGCGCGCGGACGGTCCTGAAGGGTGGCTGATACCTTAAAGTTAAAGTTGGGTGAAACTGAAGCAGCAAACAAACAAACAAAACACGTACTAAAACAGAAACACACAAGGGTGATGGGCTGATGAAAGTGGAAGGAAGAAAAAGATCAGTCATTATTGTCCACCAGTCCTCAATTCATGATCTTTTTCTTTCAGCTGCTTCAGCTTCAACTTTCCGCTTTCCTCCATATCATGGCTATATTTGCTTAGTAGTTATTATAACGTAAGTAATTTAAAATGAAAATTCTTCATTAAAATCTTCTCTTTGACCATGCTTTTTTGTAGTGGCAGTACACAATGGTTATTAAATTTATTGTCAGAAATTTTAAAATGTGCCTCTCACATTTGCAAGAGCTTATGTCGGACGTTCTGTAGATGAACTTGTTTTTAGATTATGCAAGACTTACTACACACTTAAGTCACTCCTATTATAACTAAACGTATGGTGCTTGTCAACTGATTTGCTGCAAACTTACCAAAAAGCGCGTTTGAAACTATTCCTGAGTGTTTCCATTGATCTCATTGAGCAATGCATCAATGACAGTGACTATAGAACACTTGAATAAAAACAGCGACAACATCTGAAACTACTTTTCTTAACATACATCGAAAGCTGATCACACCTATACCGACACTTGTATCGAGGTCAGAGAACGTGATTACAGTTATATCAGTCAGTTCATTTGTTGTCTTCCAAATGCTCTTCCTTCTCAGCCCAAGCTTTCTCTATTTCATCCCAGCTTTCCTCAGACAAGTCTAGAGTATGGAATCAAGATGGAACATAGATTTCTTTTTAACAAAATCAGTTCAGGTTAAGCTAACAATTAATCTAACGACAAACTGACCCTGCAAGTATGCGCACGTTTAGTCACTAATTTAAAGTGAAATGGTTATAAAACCCGCTGTTATATCACTTTTTGTTTGCTTTTTTGGACATGACTGGCGTGCCTAACGTTCAGTAGCATTCTTATTATTTTGAACTTAGTGACCAATAGAAACGTCGCATTAATTTATTTAATTTAGTCATAATTTGCCGTGAAAAAAAAAATGCAAGTAATTTGTTTACCCACGGAGCGCTTAGGAGTTCAAGAGAACTGGTTGAAAAGTGTCCGTGCCTTCCAAATCTAATTGGAATTTGGAAGAGTTGGTTGTTAAGGAGAGGGGAAAACCGGATCACCCAGAGAAAAGCCTTTCGGAGAAAGGGAGAGAACCAACAACAAATTCAACCCACACATGACTTCAACGCAGGGAATTGAACCTAGGCCACATTAGTGGAAGGCGAGTGCTCTCACCACTGCGCGATAGGATTGTGCATGGTCAGCAGGAAGCTTCGGAAATAAACTACCGAACCGTTGTTTTCACCTTTGATGTTTGCCGGCTTTCATAACCAGTCTCCTTGACTAACTATGATGTGTGTGAGGAATGAAGATTTTTTAAGGCAATAATGTCCATATTTTTGTTCATACTTATAGTCACAAAAATATGGACATTATTGCCTTAGTCTGGTGATCACCAGTTTCTTATACTTAAACTTATGTTAGTACATTCTTACGAGATGGCCCTTTGTATGATCAAGAACGACAAATCATAATTCTCGTAGTATTTATAAACAGAATCGTCTAGTAAACATTTATACAACGTGAGTATTCTAATCATAAAAATATTTTAGGAGTATCTGCATAAAAAAGAATGCCTGTGGGGAGGTAAGGATGTTAAAGAACTTCAGAGAAAATATTTTGAAAAAATAACAACAACAACAAAATCAGATTCGGCTTTCTTATGATATGACGAATCATTCAGATCTCGGAGGTTGTTATCCACCTCGGCCATAGGTCCGGGGTTGGATAACACCTATCTCAATCTGCATTAATTGTTCAATATCATTCATGTCATACTTTGCCTCATTTAATAACTATTATACCGTCATGACTCTTCTTTTGATTTGTTCATTCAATCCTGATTTTACCAGGATAGCAAAATAGTAAATATTGCAAAGAAAATATTTGTGCAAACAGGCAGGATCTTACCAGAAATAAACTTCAAAACAATTGCGTATCCTTGAATCTTTTCTTCGTCAAAATTTTTTGGGAGAGACAAAATTGACTGATTCTTAATGGCGGGCACAAAAATGCTTCGAAGAAACTGGCAATCTTCATCAGTAAGAGGCTCATCAAGACGCAACCTTTTCTGGCCTGTTGTCAGCGCGTCTACAAACTGCAATTATAGTAAGTAAAAAGGTAAGTACAGAAGTCCAGTCGAACTCTTCATCTACCCGGCGAACCTAATCTCTTCAATGAAGTCATTAAATTGTTAAAAGATCGACGTTTGTATCAGTTAACAAGAGGTGACATTTCTAATTTGGGTGGATCCATGAATTAAGTCGGGGTGGCCCACACGAGAATTTCGACTGTAGGGACTTCTTTTCAAACGTCAAAACCTAATGTATAAAATATTCAAATTTTTTCACTAGTAAGCATTGAAGACCATTGTACATCGTGAAATGACTTGACTCATGTGAATTGAATCAAGGAGTGGCTTCTCACTGATATCTGACTTTTGCCCTATTTTCAGTTTCTCTCCCTTAAGTTGATTTGTGTGTGACCATGAAGGCTTATACCCCTGGAGCTCCCTTCAACGTAACGGAGTTTTCACATATTAGTTTATTTTAGATCGATTTCCCGCAATTTCTGACTATCAAAAAAGTCTTTAAAAAATCAGTCAGTAATAAGTGGAGGCCAAAAAAAAATGTCTTTGATGTTTTATGACATTTAAAGGAAAAGTACTCCGAAATAATACTGAAGATAACTTGATCTGTGATAACGCGATTGCGAAGAGTTATCTCATGGGAGTCATGTTTACTCTCCGGGTTATGAGCTCTTGATTATTTGCTGTAATTGTTCTTACCCACTGCAGGTACTTTTTGACCCGTTCTTTACGCTCCTCTCTGTTCTTGGTAGGTTTCAACACTGACTCCTTTATATCCTCCAGCTTTGCACTATCCTCACTTGTGAAAGAATCTAAGGTGTTAGAGAGTAGTTATTTGGTATTAATTCTTGCCCGCCAAAGGTTTTTCTACATCTTGGATTTGATAGTTACGACCCTGATTGGGTTTATGATTTAGTGTCTATTAATTCAACTTTGCGTTGTAGAGGTATGAAAAACGTTCGCGTGGCTTTTTCAGTTGGGTTTGAAATAAACTGCTATTGTTCCCTACTATTCTTTATTAATCATCAATCACACTCAATCATAACAACAAGTTAGCTATCGTTCAGATCGTTGCGTGATAACGACTTGACGCCACTCAACCAGAAACGGCTCGAATTATGTTCGAATTTTGCTCTTTCAAGGTTTTATGCAAATTGGGCCGATAGACCAAAATAGAGACTTCTAGTCTGGTAGGCCATCAACACTTGTCGCAAAAAACTAGACAGGAGTGTGAAATTGTTTTAATATTATCTTTAACCTTGCGCAAAAATACATGACTTGGAAATGTCTGTCTTCGATTGTCTGATGAAGTTTCGCAAAATGCTGATGCTGACACTCTTAAAATCTAACGGAGTTATATGCAGCTCTGGGAAGTCTAGTGTTCTTAGTCAGTGACTGGTTTTAAATTTAAAAGATTTGAATGGAATGGAAAAAGCCAAACTGTCCCACCGTAGATCGTTTTGAAAGTAGACTTCAAAGCCCGTTAAGACAGTGTTTTTTTTTTTTTCAGTAAATCTACTGCTTTTCGCGGCTTTCTTTACAAAAGGTACTGACTCATTAATAGGTCTTAATACAGCTCAGACTAAAAGAGATTTAACATCAGATGAGCCCATTGGGATATCAAGAATAACTTAAATGGATTGGTGGACCTTTATATTTGTAAAACCTGAAGTTGTTGCATGTTGAGGGACCTAATATTGTTCTTACAGACAAAGTTCGCAAAGTCAAGAAGGAGGATTTTAAGGATGATGTGGGTGTGTGTTGGAAGATGACTGCGACCCAGTAATCTGGCAAGCCTTTGATTAATCACGGATAGGGCGTGGAAATATTCGCACCAAGACATCAGTTTTGCATGTAATTCTGCTAAACAGTTAATTGCCTGTAGTCAATGCATCCATGCGGGTATATATGTCAGATCCCTCGGGAAACCAGTTAGTTTAGTTTTCCCGAGAGTCCTGATGTTTCCTGAGACGAAGTCGAGGGAAACATCAGGACTTCGATTTTGAGCCAAAATTTTCCTGTTAGAAAACGCTGAGTTCACGAAACGGCTTCTTCTACGTGAATACACGGGAGTTGTAAACAATCCATCGAGCACAAAACTCAGCGACAGTAAATTGAAAAACGCCGTATTGAATCCTTCCAGGTCTTTACTTGTCTTAAAAAAAGTCAGCCCTAGGATTCTGTCGACTTTTAAAAGATCGTTCTCTAAAAAATGGGAAAAACACCGAGCTCACACATTATCCACTCGCTAGGAGGTGAATATTGTTGAATAGTCCGAGATAGCGAACCAATCAGATTGCTTAAATCACCAAGATCACTGAGTGTGTATATACGAAATATATATATAAACTAAAACCCTTGTGTTGTTTAAAAAACATTATTAATTATACCTGTCAAATTGGTTTCTTCCCCCTCCTCCAGGCTTACTGCTGAGTTTTTATATTCCTCATCGTCCTCGTCGTCCTCATCACCTCTGAAAACATTTTTGCCGACTACCTCTCCTTTCGGAAGCTCCAATCGGTTTTCTTCCTTGTTATAAATAACACGGCAACACTTGAAAAGGAATGGTCCACGAGTGTTCCTACTAGCAATCTTTGGGGGAATATTGCTCTTCTTAAATTTTCCCTTTAGCTGTGCCAAAGGGTGCACGGGAATATTGACTTCGCCGTCCACGTCCATCTTCGAAATTAATACAAATAACAACGAATAAAGTCACCAATAAACAGAAAATAACCAACAAAACCAACAGAAGCGATATACACAACAACAAGGTACACAGGCAACCAACAGAAGCAATATTTCAGGGTTAAAATATTAATTTTGGCGCAATTTTGGACGAGTATTTCTAAAGAGTACTCTTGGCACATCACATCAGGCTATTCTGCTATGGCTCCTTACGCTACAAATTCAAATTGTTGAAACACAGCAAAATGTCGCCAAAAGGGGAAAGGGAAAAGTTATTGTACAACCGGTCATGGCAGGCACAGACAGACTTCAAACATTTTAACCCAGGCTCATTTGGCTATATTTCTATTTCAGACTCAAAAGCGCGGAGATCAAGAAGAAAAGTTATTTCACCAGTCTTCCCCATACCTCTCGTCATAACATGCCACCAACAGTTGAGTTCACTCACTTCGAGCTCAATATGATAAGTCCAGGGTTTTCGACAAGTGGCGAACACTGGACGCGAAATTTTTTTGGCGCCGCAAGGCGCGAGCTACCTAGGAGGGGGGGGGGGGGGGGGAGGGCGGTCTGGGACGTGCTACCCCCTTTTATGTACCCTTTGCTTCTCTATATGATATCATTTAGGGTAGTTATCAAAGGGTAAATTTACCTCGCTCTTTCTGTTGCCTTTAATCTCAAATCGCTCGCTGTAAATTACTGAGGTTATCAAACGCAGCTTTTTGTCTTCAAAGACTTCTGCTTTATTGATGTCCAGTTTTGTATTGGCCAATATTTCACGTAAGTCCGGGTCTTTTATGTAATCTTGATCGATTCTCCCCAGGTCTAGGAAACCAAGATCTTCACTTATCTTAATATTTGCACTAGCACAATTGGCTGCCTTGAATACAAATTCTACCTTGCTAAATCAAGGAACACAAAAAAATTATCGTAAGATGTCGGAAGCCTGCATGCATGGGCTCTTAGAAAAAAAAAAAACGCAGGCTTTAAACAGAGGGTGGCAAAGAGTTTATGCGTGACGCGTGATTAGGCCCAAATTTAGTGCGTGACGCGTGAAAGTTCCCAAAATAGGAACATGATCCGTGGAAACCATTTATGCACGTGAAGCGTGATGTATCTTATAAGATGTGCGGGACTCATGAATTATCTGTCGCATTTCGTGAAAATCATGATATAGAACATATAGGTAGGACAGGGACGTTGGTTTCATTCTTTGCGTTACGTTTTTGTCTACGTGACAAGTGACTTTCGGGATTAAATCGTGCTGCTTTGTTTTCGTGTTAAACTGAGTGAAGTATGAGTCACTGGGCTCTTTGCATGACGTGATCACGTGATCAACTTTCGGTAAACACGAAAACAGCTCAGTTTTGAAAAATTTGGATCGCTCAAGCTGAAAGAGCATTTTACAATTAGGTAACCTGAAAATTTTCAGCCGTATATCTCAAAACTAGCGATTGCAACTGCCGCACGAGGAGCAGAATAAGCAGTGAATAAGATGAAATTCGATTTTTGGTAGTTTGGGTAACGTACCGGGCCGGAATGGAAATACCTCAGAGACCTCGGACATCTCGTTCCAAAGCCTGTAGTTTCTTAAAGTCATATGGTCTATGAAATTGAGCGTTTCAAGTAAAAAGGGGGATATTGAGAATGCTGAATTAGGATAATTAACAGCAAAATCAGCTGGACAAACTGTTGGTTTGCAGAACTAAGGCAAGTAATCGGCAGGCTACCGAACTTTGGGAATTTTCTTTGACGAACTGCACATTGAAAAGGAACTGTGGGAAATCCTAATATTGTTGCATGTTCAGTGAACAAAACATAGAGTAATAGACTGCAAAACAGTCCGTATTTTTGCGTATTCAAGTACGCGCGAGCAGTCAAACAAAAGGTCTGGAACGAGACTTAAAACATAGAGCGAGACTTTTTTTCTAAAAGTTTTTTCTCTCTCGCCTCACACGCCCGTTACGCCACGCTTTACAGATTCTTTACTGATTTTGAGAAAAAAACCGACTGTTTTGCAGTCTAACAGAGTAATGGACTCCATCACCAGCCGTTCTGTGCTCCTCCAATAGCTATATTAAAAATTAAATATCAAAAATGCTGTGTTGTGTTCAGTTCGCTAAGGAAATAAAAATAATTATTATAAAAACACGAATGAAATACTAAGCGTTCGCGCGAAAACATACCTTCACAAGTGAAAAAATGTGTTATTTTCACATATGAGATAGGGAACCCACGCTCTTATTTGTAAACTGCAAATGGAAATTAAATAAGAGATGTAATCCTGTTTTTTTTTTAAATTTTTGAATCTGCTGTTCAAAGGGAAATGGAAGTTGTTTTACGATGCGAAAACTATGTTCAAGTCTACGCAATCTACACTATGTTCAATTCTACACAATGTGGTCAGCCCTGGTTGTTATTATCGTCTCGCGTTTCATCGTTAGTTATTAATTGAATTGTTAATAAACTATTATAAAATAACTGAGATAGTACGCGTGATCTGTTTGGTCAAAAACCTATGGTTTATTATACCGGTAAACCCATAGAAAAAGGCATCCGGACCACCAGCCATAAACAAAACCGGCAATTGATCTGCAAACAACGATTTTAGAAAGGCTAAAAAACAGAAAAAGTTACTTACCCAGCCCTTTGTAACGTTAAAAGCGTTGGTTTCCACATTTTATTACTGAGCCTCACAATTCGCTACTGCCATAGCTTAAGAAGTTATAAAGTACAAAGCTGGAAAACAGTTTACATTTCACGACGATGCCAATCCGAGAGAAAGACAACAACTGTGTGAATTTCTGGTGTAGAAAGTCTCTAGGAAAACTTAACCATGTGCCAACCAGCAACAAAACGGATAGTTTTAGCATTCTTGATTTATTTTATGTCAAAATTAAATTCCTTAATGAAAGAAATTGTTCCAAAAAGAGATCTCTGATCAAGATATGTAATGGTAACAGGACTGAGTGGAGTCCAGTTCGGTCTGTAATCATACGAGTGATTAACAAAATCGGACGACCGCGTAGCGGGAGTCCGATCTGTTTAATCACGAGTATGATTACCGACCGAATTGGACGACACGAAGTTCTGTTACCAATTAATCATAACTTTAACAAAATTTGGGATATATTAGGCTCTTTTTTAATCAAAATACAAGAAATTCCGAGATTTTTTTGCTAGCAGTGAAAAAAAAGCCATTTAAGCGCGCGCATGATGGCGCGTACTGTCCAATTACTTAGGCATGACACGTACTGTCCTATTTAACTGTCCTATTAAGGCTGAAATCAGGGCAGTTGATAGCCAATCAGATTTAAGAATTTTGTTATAGTTATGATTAGGTATAAAATCGGCCGCTGTAAACAAGCTGCCAACGATGATGAAAGATGTCAGAGTTTCGGGCTGGTTTTTTCCAACATTTGCACAAATTATTATTATTATGCCATAACCTACCCCAAACCACCTGACTTCACGAATCGACAAATATTAACGCCAATATGTGGCTACGGCAAAGAAACCTTTCTCCACCACTGACATATTTCCATCGGTCGCTGTACGTGCATATAAAGTTACATGCGACAACTTCGCAAATGCAGCCACGTCGTTACCGCAGCATTTCTTGATCATAATAAAGTCTAGAAAACAGATCTTAAACCACTGCGGCATGTAAAAAGTGAATGAAGTCCTCCATTACAATAGCTGTCAGTTCCGTCTGTAACAATGAAATTCTTACGGATCGACTCAACAAAATACAGCTGCGTACAGTCTGATGTTCAATAAATTTCTACTTCTGTAGTAAACAAACCATGAACGTATTCTTTCATTGTACGTTCGCATGAATATGTGTTGACTTTTCCTGTAAAACAGCTTTCATAAGTTATCATGTAATGAGTGCCAAACCTCGTGTTTTGAAGTGCTGCTGTTTGTTGTTTGACTGAACTGAGTTTTGAGAAAGTTCAACGCTATTAAATCGTGAGTCATGATTGGCTTATGATGACTTTAGAGAGAAGACGTGACTTGATCACGGTACTAGAACCATATTTTTTACCTAAAAGACTCCATTCTACCAGAAGTTATTTCATAAAAGCAATAGACCACACTTTCTATGGGTTTACCGGCGTGATAACCCACTTCGGCTCGTGATTTACAAGCTTTTCTCGTGTTCTCCCAACATCCCGCGTGGGTTACATAGAAAGTGTGGTCCATTGCTTAAATAACCAACTATGAAACGGGAGACGATAATATCAACCGGCGCGTGACACTAACACAGAAATGAGAGCCAAACCAAGTAAATCATTGTGAAATCAACAACGTTTAAAGCGTCGAGTTGAACATAGTTTTCGCATCTGAAAACAATTTTCATTTCACTACGCACCAGTGTTATAACTGATTGTATTTTATCACGTTAGCCAAAGGGAGTTGTAATAAAACAGTCATTCCTTTAGGTTTCGCCGGTTCCACAGGTTCCGCGGTTCCGCGGTCTGCAGTTCCGCAGACTAGTCTTCCACTTTTTGAACACTCAAAGAGAAATTTGGTATCTCCGCGCGGCCATGTGATGTCCTTTATTTCACTCTATACAATGATGTGAATGCTACGCGTGCTGTGATTGGTAGTTGCCCATGATCTGTTGGAGTACAGATACATGGATGACGTCACGGGAAACTTGTTTTCTTTGTTTTGTTCAACATGGCGCGCGGTTTTGAAAATGCTTTGTGAGATTATTTCGAATTAAAGCAAGTGAAAGCCTCGGAAAAAGTTTAGTAGGAGCTATTACAAAGAAGAAAAATGGACAAACGAGGACCAAAAAAGCTATTGATTTGAGAGTGCCTAAACTACCAGAAAACTTCACAACAGTTGCCATGGTGTGTCATCGCTATGAGAGACTCGCTGTTTTGCAAAATGTTTTCGCCATTATTCTGCTTTGAGCAAGAAAAGATGGTGAAAATATTTTCGAAGAAACTGTATACATGTAAGCTAAAGAGGAGTCAAGCGGTATGAGGCAGGTATTTGTATCGGTCGTTTTTCTTTTCTGATCATATCATAGTATAAAACAAATAGATTCCATGTTTCCGTGCGTCTGCTCAGTAATAGATCACAGAGGACGTCAAAATGTAGTAAAAACATCAGTGACACACTCGCCTGCGGCTTGTGTGCCACTTCTTTGTTTTTGCCACATTTTGACGTCATCTGTGATCTATTAGGCTGATTTAGCGACGGGACGGGAATGTCTTTTCCTGAACTTCGATACAGTCTTTAAGAATTGAACTCCAGAAAAAAAAATGCCAACATTTGACGAATTGAACGAGATGGAATAAGTGCGATGTTTGAAGCAGCGCGTCTAGTTTAGAGTGACGTTTTGTTAGCCGTCGCCGTCGTTGTTGCTTAACCTCCCTATTACTGAACAGACGCACGGCAACATGGAATCTATTTGTTAATCAGTGCACAGCCATAGCACGTGGCTTACGTCATGCCGCATTTCGTTGGTCCTTTGTAACTGTTACTTATCATTGACCACTGTGTGGGTGATTGCTTATCCTTTGTGTTGTAAATCAACAGTATAGGCTGCAGTAGAATATATTAAGCTGATTTAGCAACAGAACGGGAACGTCAGTTGACGACGGCACGCGCAAATCAAACAACTAGTTTGACCAATGACAGAGCGGCAAACTGGGCACCGGAAGTCGAGTTTAGTCCTTTCTGCGCGCTTTCCCGTCGTCAAATGGCGTTCCCGTTCTGTTGCTAAATCAGCCTATTGACTTATTATCAGGTGACTTTTATATTTTTAAAACATTCGGCGTGCTTCATATTTAGCGCTAATTACCTAGTAGCTCCTTTATCATTGCCGTTGGCTTCCTTTAGTTCTATTCCATGGTCTTCTTTCTTAATCTTTTCGTTTAAAGCTTC